ATTTTTTAAAATTAATTAAAGTTTTATAAATTTATATATTAAAATTAAAATATAAAATTTAATGTCATTTAAAAAATAAAAAAATTAAATTTAATCTTTTCAAATCCTTCCAAAATAAAAAGAAAATTAAAAGAAAAAAATTTAGAGGAAATATGCCACATCTACCTTTCTCTCTTTCTCTGATTCTCTTTCGTAAATAATATTATCCAAATAATATAAAATAGAGATATTTTTTTCACTCGCCTCCTCTTTCCTAATTTTCTTAATCCATCTTTTCCTAATTTTCTTAATCCAAACACAGGTTAAGAGAGGAAATTTTATTACCAAATTAACTAATTTGATTAGAAAAAGTTTAATTTTTTTAATAAAATTTTAAATTCAAGTTTTATAAATAATTTTATAAAATATTTAATTTTAAATTAATTATAACTACCCTAATTATCAGATACCTGTTAGTTAAAAAAAAAAAAATTATTTAAGAGGACTCAGTTGGAATGATATAGCAATAGCATAATTGTATAACTCACGCGGCTCTTAACTTCATTACTCTGTATCGAAAGGTCAGAGAGACAGTTCCTTCTTTCTCTCTCTCATGGACTCTCCGATCGCGAACGAAGCTGCCGGAATAGTCTCTGATGGCGACGAGTCTCTGTTTCACAACGTTCCTCTGGCTCCTGATGTTCCAGTTTATGCGGTAGTTGCATTTTCTAATTGTTCTCACTACTTACCACTAATCTTTTTTAAATTCTTGTTAATTGAAGTAACTCGAATCATAATGTTGATTCTGTCACTGTGTTTTTTTATCACTAGAAATGAATTTGATTGTTCTTCTACAAGATTTCTGGCAATTCTGCCGTACTTCATCTACATGGATAGATTTTATAGTTTGATTATTTTGGTTTTGATTTTAGTTTGAGGTTGTAGGGCATTGAATTTGAACCTCAAACTTATTGCTGAGAATCTTGAGGAAGGGTGAAATGAAAATGTGAAATTGTGAAGCATCAATGAGTAACTTCTGTGAAACAATGAAAGTGATTTAGCATTTCTTAGTACTGTTCTTCAGTGTTCAGTAGTGGAATTCCTTTTGCAGCTAGAAGAGGAGAACTGGATCCAAATGAAATATAATTTCTTTTATTGTTAATCTGACTTTGATATTATCTCTTTTAGTACTTGTTTATTTCCTTTGTTTACATTTGTGCTGCTGCTATATTCTGAAAAGGTGATGGCTGCTTACAAAACGGACCCCAGCCCAAATAAGCTGAATTTAGGCATTGGTGTCTATCGGACAGAGGTGAGCATTGATTTCACTCTAGTGCGGTTCAATTCTCTCAATTACAATAACATGGTGCAAGTTTAGCTCTCCTTGGAGTAATCCTTAGATGGAATTGCATTAGCATATGTTGAAAGAAATACTTCATCTATGTGGTTCAAGATGTGAACATGGCCTCAAGCAGAATGCTTCCTATTAAGGGAGACAGGTTTTCTCTCCTTTATGATTGTCCCCATCATCATCTTGCACCCTGCATCACTAGTAAAGAGATTCAGATGCGGCTTCTTCTTTCTGGTTTTTTATTCCTTAAGAAACATCATCCCTTTACATTCAAATGCAGGTTGGTGGTTGCACTGATTTTAAATGAATGATAGAAAGCTAGCTTTTACATGTCCTTGCATCTGAATACTTATTTGCCTTTTTTGATACAAACAACTTTCTGGTTGAGCTTTGTTTATGGCATGACAGGATGGACAGCCTCACATGTTGAATGTGGTTAGACGAGCAGAGCAGATGCTAGTTAATGAATTGTGGGTATTTCACCTTGTTGTTTCAATCATAACTTTTTATGAAGGATAGATTAAACTCAAGTTTACCTGATATTAGGTCTGTTGATAAAGAGTATCTCCCTATAACAGGAATGGCAGAATTTAATAAATTGAGTGCCAAGCTTGTGTTTGGCCCTGAGAGGTACAGGAAATCAAACTTGCCTTGCCATTTATTCTATTTGTCTTTTCCATGTTATGAGTGGATGCAATTCTTGATACTGGAAATCATATAATATAAGTGCCTACCATTTACTCTATTTCATTTCTGGATTGCTGATGCCTTATTTTGTTTTTGTGGGGAGAAGCCCTGCAATCAAGGAATCCAGAGTGACCACTGTCCAGTGCCTGTCTGGCACAGGCTCATTGAGGATTGGAGCTGATTTCTTAGGGAAACATTATCACCAAGTTAAAGACTAAGCTTATGTTTCATTCTGCCGTAGAATTGGACATCCTTTGACCATGTTGCTATTCTTTCTGCAGCACACAGTGTACCTTTCCCAGCCAACATATGGCAATCATCCAAATTTTTTCTCTGCAGCAGGGTTTGCTTTAAAAACTTACCGCTACTATGATGCAAAAACATGTGGGCTAGACTTTCAAGGTTTGAAATGGTGCCCAAATGAAAGCTTCATCTTGCATGCTGCACTTAAGTGTAGACAACCAATTTTATGTGATTGTGCATTGCATCAATCGCAAATTCAAGCAAATTATTTATCTGATTTATATTTTTAATTTCAATAATACCTCATTTTCATTTATTCATGAACTTGTATTTATCTAGATTAGTGCTTTGTAGTTTTAATTCATGTTATGGTATATTGCTCTTGTGCTGACAGGCCTATTGGATGATCTCGGTTCAGCCACAACAGGAGCCATTGTGCTTCTCCAAGCAAGTGGTCATAATCCTACTGGTGTCGATCCAACCAGTCAGCAATGGGAGCAGATCAGGCAGTTAATGAGACTAAAAAGGTTGCTGCCCTTCTTTGATTGCGCTTATCAGGTAGGGAGTTGGTTAGAGGTTAAAGCTTTGGGTTGTTTCTAGAGCTTTATTCATTAAACAATTGATTGCTCAATCTAGGGTTTAGTAAGTGGAAGTCCTAATGCCGATGTGGAGCCTGTTCGCATGTTTGTTTCTGATGGTGGTGAATGCCTTGTAGCTCAGTCATATTCAAAAACTATGGGGCTCTATGCAGAACGTATCGGTGCACTTCACATTGTAAGAAATTACAATAAACCATTTATATTAGAATCCATTTGTTAGCTTGTAAAACTCATTATTTATTTATTTATTTTCTAACTATACTATAGAAGCTAGTCAGCTACCTTTTAACTTGTTTTCCTTTTCCACATACTTTAGATTTTCCTAATGTACTATGGCCATCATGATTTCTTGTGTAATAAAGTATTTTTGTCTAGGTTTGTAAGAAAGCTGAGGTGGCAAGATGTGTTGAGAGCCAGCTGAGACTTGTGATCAGACCTATGTATTCAAGCCCACCTATCCATGGTGCATCCATTGTCACCACTATTCTTAGGGATAGGTAATGAATTTCTCATTTTCAGTCACTCAACTCTTTCTTATAAATTTAGAAATTTAGGGCCTGTTTCATGGAGCTTGTTGGAGCTTTTGCTTTTTTTGTACTGTTCATGAGTAATAAGTTTAAATTTTTATTGGAGGAAAAATTTAAAAGTTGCTTTTAGATATAAAAAAAAGGGAGTAAAAAGTGAGTAAAAAGGGAGTAAAAAGTGAGTAAAAAGGGAGTAAAAAGTGAGTAAAAAGAGAGTAAAAAGGTTGGATTTGAAGCTTTTGATCTTTTACTGTTTGAGGTCTATATAAGATTAAAAAAAAGTTTAAAAATATAAGTTTTTAAGAGAAAAATTTAAACTTATGAGACATGAATAGTGTCAAAAGGCTGAAGCTCGTAGAAGCTCCACCAAACAGGCTCTTAGTAGTGATTCTATGGTCATCAATCTTTGTTCCATGTACCATGGAGATTGTTTTGATCTTGTTCCAGGCAATTCTTGGAAAGCTTAATCAGTGAAAATTTTCCTGGTTAGACAATCCTTTTCAGGTAGTAAATGATACCATCAAGCAGAAACACACATCAATATTTCTGAAATCAGTCCAGTTATTCGAACCCATAATAACCATGTTAGCAGACTGCAAATAAAAATTGAAAAGATATATAAATATTTTAATGGTTTTCTTACTCTACAGCACCAATAAGACAAGATATGTGATGGTCTGGATCATCTTTTGTTGACTTCATGCTTCTAGTTTTGCTTCTTGTAAGTTTGAATGCTTTGCATGCAGAGACATGTATAATGAATGGATTATAGAGCTGAAGGCAATGTGTGATCGTATTGCCAGAGTGCGTCAACAACTCTTCGATGCTTTACATGTTAGAGGTAAGCCAATTTCAGCTGTATGTTGACTACACATTTTTTATCATTCAGTTGTGTGCTTAATTGAATGTCAAAAACAAAGTTTTGTGCTTAATTGTGTTTAAGAGAATGACTACAATTTCTAAAAGCCTAGTTTTACATTAATATCCCCCACTTAATTTGTAGGTACCCCTGGTAATTGGAGCCACATTACTAGGCAGGTTGGGATGTATACGTTCTCAGGATTGAATGAAGAGCAAGTCGCCTTTATGACTAAAGAATACCACATATACATGTCATCCGACGGGTAATAATAACATTTATATCCAGAAGTTTTCTTCATAGCCTCTGTAGCTTGTCTTACGGTTCATATATAAAAACATACACAATGTCTTCCTGCCAAGTCATTGCTCAAACTTTGCCCACATCCTCCAAGACTGCCATGTTTTTGTTACTATCCAAATTCAGACAACATAGTTACTGTGATAGTTTTGGACGTAGATCCCTGATAAAATAGACTCCTAATCTCTTCACTTGTACATATTTAAATTGCAGGAGGATAAACATGGCAGGTCTCGGCTCAAAAACAGTTCCTTATCTAGCAGATGCCATGCACGCAGCCGTTACGCGTACATTCTAATCCTCTTTTCTATTTAATTCCCGTAAAAATCTCATCCAAACTGCTGTTGTATCCCTATCAAGAAAACTCGGCGTGTATTACTTTATGCTTCCAGTTGTGATAATCAGAAAATTTGAAGACGTGAGACTTCTTTCTTCCCTATATTATGCATCCAAAGGGACCAAATACCAAAGATATCAATGCCTATATATAAATAGCTGTTAAGTAAAATTCGAATCTATTCACAATTTGATGAAGAGTGACGACATTAGATAATGAGGCTAATACCGTAATTTGATGTATAATTTGTGCATGTAGGTCTCTGTAGAGGAGGGTTCTGATGATGGCAATGCATTAGGTGATTACAGATTACCTCAATACGATAATACAGATTCACCAATTATTTTGTTTGTATGATTAGATTTCACTGATTATGAAATTCGATCGAGAATTAGAACAGAAAAAATAAAATAAAATTGCAAAACAAAGTTTAGGCAGTTGGAATGGAAACAGATATAGTAATAAATTTGACTCAGGACCAAATTCGTATTTTAAAACCTTGTTTCTTTTTTTTTTCATTTTTTTTTGTTTGTTAAACTTTGAATTTGGTCCCTTAAATATTGGCCAAAACCCCCTGTTTGCCCTTCAACTTTTTGAGTTTGAAGCATTTTACCCCTCATATTACAATATATGGGTTTTTACCCTCCATGTGTTTTGAGTTTAGGGAAATGAGGTAAAATTTAAAGTTGGAGGGTCATGTGCAGCATGTGTATCATTAGTTTCCATCTTACATTCACATGTCAACGCCAACTTAGGTTTGTTTGACATGTTGGTAAGTCCAACTTGAACCTCTTGTGAGCGGAAATTTTACCGCCAATAATTTTAACTTGTGGGCCTTACTTTTTTTTTTTTTTTTTCGTTCCTCCCTTTCCTCTTCCCTTTCTTCAACTTCTGCAAACCCTAATATCTTAACCAATCTCTAACATGTCAACCAATCTCTATCCTTGGTTCTTTATCATCATCAAACAACAAAACCCACAAAAAAAAAAAATTAATTTTTTGCCACGAGGTTTGAAAGAATCCAACACTCGGGGTTCCAAGGAACCCAACGATTGTTGGGTTCGAAAAAGCCCACACCTGGATTCTAACAAACCCAAGAGTGCTGGGTTCAAAAGAATCTGCGCTTGGGTTCCATCAAATCCAGGTATACATTGACTTGGAGAATTTGTGTATAATATCCTTCAATGGAATGTCTTCACTTAATTTTATAACTTCTGCAATTTTCGAGATTCCAGAAGCAAGTTTTGCAACTTCACTGCAGAACATCTGAATCCATAGCAGCTTCTTTCTTTACATGGGAAAGCTCCCCACTCAGACCTGAAACATCCTAAAGGTCGAGCTTCCTATATTCAACATCATCCTGAAAAGTTGATTGCTGATTTTTCTCAACTTTGAGATTCTGATTGGCACTAGAACCTCGAGAGCCTTCATACCTGATGATTTCCTGCACAACAAAATGCAAAAGCGTGGTTTTCCGTCAATTCCCTCTACGTCAACAAGCTTAAGCATGCTTAGGTTCAATGGAACCCAGGTGTGGGTTCCTCGGAATCCAGTGGCAAAAAATTTTATAAAAATATTCTTCTTCTTTTTTTTTTTGTGGGTTTTGTTGTTTGATGATAATGAAGAATCCAACAAGGGTAGAGATTGGTTGAGATGTTAGAGATTGGTTAAAATGTTAGGGTTTGTAGAAGTTGAAGAAAAGGAAGAGAAAAGGGAGAATCGAAAAAAAAAAATAATAATAATAATAAAGTAAGGGCCACAAGCTAAAATTATTGGTGATAGAATTTCTACTCACAAAGGATCCAAGCTAGACTTGTCAACATGTTAGAAAAGTCTAAGTTGGCACTGACATGCGAATGTAGGACATAGGCTAACAATGCGGAGGCTAACGATGCACATGCTGCACGTGACCATCCAACGTTAAATTTTGTCTCATTTTCTTAAACTCGAAAATATGGAGGGTAAAAACTCATATATTGTGATATGAGGGGTAAAATGCCCCACACTCAAAAAGTTGAAGGGCAAATAGGGGGTTTTTGCCCTTAAATATTATAAACCTCTGAATTGGTTCCTAAACTAAAAAAATTCCTAAATTGGTCTCAATTAATAAAATTCCTGGTTTGGTACTTAAAGTTTTAAAATTTAATTCTAAGTGGATCTCTTCGTTCAAAAACAACCAACGTATCACATTATTAATTTGATACATGATGATCAAGTAATAGCTTTTTACCGTTTAATAACAAACACATCAATTATTTTTTAATAAAATGATCAATTTGGAATTAAATTTAAAATTTTCAGTGATTAAATTTGAGATTTTTTTAGTTTAAAAACCCATTTAAAAGTCTATACAACAGTTGAGAGACCAAATTAAGGGTTTAACTTTTTTTTTTTTTTTCTCTTGCTTGAGAAGAGGCCACTGATTGTGAGGAGAGAGAAATTAAGAAATTTGTAAGGCATGCGGTGGGATTTCTTAATGCCCAAGGCGACCCTCCTCTAAGGTAATCTAACTCGGGCGCTACTAAATGGCCAAACCCCATATTATTAACACCGTAGACGTTTTTTCTTTCTATAATCAAATATCCTGCAAAATTTCTCCTCTCCAAGAAAGGAAAGACTGAAACGAAAATGCATCCTCCATTGACGCCAGCTTCTTCATCTTCTCCAAGTGATTATAAACTGTTAATTATGATATTTGGAAATATATATTTATAAATCAATTTTATAAATTAATTTTAATATATTAAATAACAAATATTAATTATTTTATTAATTATTAATTACTTTTAACAATTAAATTAAATTAAAAGTTTAACTAATTTAGTGGTGGCCATAGCCATAGGAGTAGAGGCCATTCGGATTTTGAGGTAAATTTTTTTTTTTTTCACTAGCAGTCTTCACATTTTGAACAACTAGTTATTTTACGCAATCCCGTCTTACTACTGATAGAATGCAGAGAAATGGAAGAAGGACAGGAAGAGGAAAACCGCACGATAACACTCTATACCATTTAATAAATTGTATTCATTATTCACTTACTATGACAACAATTGGAACAAAGAAATGAAAAACATACTATATATATCACATAAGCTACAAACACAGGTTCGGCTCTAGCCTAAAGACACTCTATCTGCATCCCTTCAACAGATAAGAAGATGGGCTAGAGATACTTGTGGCATTGGCCACAGAGGATTTCCCAATTTCATTTCCTTTCCCGGGTGTCCCACATTCACTGAAGTCAAGGATTCGGCGTTCTGTCTGCAAATGTTTCCAAAAAAAAAAAAAAATCTTTCAGTTGTGCAATTATATGAAGGATATATACATTAGATTAATCAGTCAAATATGAGTTAAACCTAGACAGAGCCAGAGTTTATGAAAAGTTGGACATACCACAATATTTGATGACAAATGGGAACGGCTTTCGTTTTGACTTTGAGGCATGCAACTATTTTCTCTGTCTATATTGGGATTGTTGGCATGTCTTTGCTTTACAAGTGTTTCTGGGGTTTCATTTCCTAAAACCTCCAATGCATCAGCATAGGTAGCAGCAGTATAATCACTTAACTGCTTCATCAACCCAAGGGCATCGTAGCTTCTATCCCCTGGGCTTATAAGGTATCCAATATCCTGAAAAGTATTTCAAACTATTAAGAAACATCTGTAGCAAATAATTGAACTATTAATCTAGCAGAAGCACGATACCTCAATTGTGCCAGGAAGAAGAGAATTGATGAACCAAGGGGATTTCCATGCTGATGGGGATTCAATACTTCTTTTGAATGGAGTGTCACCAAATCTGGAAACAAACAACATGAAGCAAGCAACTTGTATGAGAAAATCACAAATGCTGTCATGGCAATTGAATGGAAAGTAAAACCAAAGTTCTCAAGAACATAAATAGTCACCACATAAGTGACTAAAAACAAAGAAAAGGAAAGAAGTTGTATCTTACATGTTATAGTTTTCAGTAACAGTGTCATTCCCAACATTAACAACTGAACTCTCCAAGGGTGCCGATGAAGAAGAAGTACACTGACTTGATGTAACAGCAACCAAGTGACTCGGACCGATCATTGTTTTCACAGTGGGAGAGCAAACAACTAGACATGGATTATCAGATGAATTTTCCGAGGCATAAGCTTGATTTGTTACAACTCCAGAGATTTTAGAGAGTTGGTTTTTTGGAGTTTGGGCACTTGAAGCAAATGTTCTGTCTACTTTAAGACCACCTTGATCAGGAGAAAATAACAGCAGATCATTGACATTATGTTCGACCAGGATTCCAGAGGGCTGCTGTACCTATAGAATCAGTACATTAGCTCTCAATTGTAAAAACACGAAGTCAACAAATTGCTGAGACAATTTCCTAAATATCGCTGATAAAAGACAATAGATGCACATTAGTCAAATGATTTCTACTCCCAACAGTTTTGAGAATGGAAAAGAGTTGGGACTAGGGACCTTGTTAGGTAAAAAAATAATAATAATCATGCTTGGTATAATGAAACTAGTATCAGAAAGAGTAAAGAGAAATCAGAAGTAAGGTGATTAGATGCCCATTAAAAAATTTTTTAAAAAAATTAAAAAAAGGAAAAGAAGAGTAGGAAATTGATAAGGAGAAACTAACTCAGAAAAAAGGAGTCACTTACAGTTTGATGAGCGTCTGGATCAACCTTGGTCTTAGCATCACTATCAAAAACCTTGGTCTTAGCATCACTATCAAAAATCTCTTTATCATCTGAGGATGCAGTGAAATCTTTTGCATTGTCTTGTCCCCCCACAAAAGCATGACTGAGGTTTTCTTTATCTTCAATGAGGTCACAAGAGTTGTTATGGTCATCTGTCAGAGGTAGCTGAGAAGCCTTCAGGGTCTCACCATCATCAAACATCATGTCCAAACGAGAAAAATCTTTAGCCAAACTGGATGCCAGCTCAGTTTCCAACTTCTTTTCATTTCTTCTTTCCGACAAAGGTGATAACAAGTCACGGTGGCGTTTCTTCAATATAGAAGGGGTACCTGTGAAAGTTTTAGCAGCACTTTTTAGCACAGCATCAGGACTATCATCACGAGAAGGAGAATCCCATAATCTGAATGGAGTAATACAGTTCATAGAATTCATCATCAGCTGGCGAATGCCAAGGGGACTATATTCTTGCTGCATATCACTACTGGATTGTATAAGATCACAGCTGAAAAATGGAATATCCAAGCTTGGAAATCGAGGAGGCTCATAACATAGAGCTCCAGCATCCTGTTCAGTATTGGTGTTTGGCTTCTCATCCACAGAAGGACAGGACTTATCTATATTCGATCCTGAAGCAAAAGTATTCACTGGAACCAACTTCAAAGAATCCTTGGCAATGTATGACTGCTCTTGCAGGCCTGTGCTATCTGTATCATGACATGAGGAATTGGCAGACTCATCTGTATAGATAAAGCTATCATGTATCCTTGCATTAAAGTCTTGTTCCTGAGTTCCGTAAGGGAAATCACCATGTTCCCTACTATATATAAGTGCACCACCCTCAGCCAGAGGTAGTGTAGGTACAGCCCCTGAAGGGCAACTAGATGGCGGATCCAAAATTCTTCTGGTTTCAGATGACAGTTCTGAAGGCCTAGAAAGTGATGAATTTGTGTTTTCAACCAAGTTAACCATATTTGAGCCTTGGGTAAAATCTTCAGAAGGAAAACATCTGTCATTAACTCTCTCTGATAACGGTATCGCACAACATTCATCATCTGTTATCAGCATATGCTCTTTTTTGTCAGAGCCTGTGACCATATTTACCATAGAATTAAGAGCATTTAACCCCATAGTAGTTTGAAATGGAACATTTACCACTTCACAACTTTCACTAGCACCTATAAACTGAATTGCAAATCCTGATGACTCGTGTCCCATTTCCAATGAAGACATATTACCTAGATTCTGCAAATCAAACTGGTAATCCACACTTGCTGCAGCTCCATCATGGGAGAAATTTTGCTCAGCAAACTTGGAAGAATATCCTGCTTCACAATGTATATCTGGGATGGAAAAGGCAATATCATCCAGGGAGGTATAATATGGTTCTGAGCATGAAGCTGGGCTGGAGATTTGGTCCTTTGCTGCATTGGTCATTTCAGTCTGCTGGAGTTGATCTCCTGTATATACAACAGCAGCCAAATCACTTGCTGACTGAGAACAACCAATTCGATTGGAATCCTGACTGCATTCTGATATTTCCCCTGCTTCTTTCCCACCTTTGAGAAGACTGTCATCCACACTGCATGGCATCCTCGAAGATGATGAAGGCATGTGCTGATTTTGATTTACAGCAAGAGGAAACTGCAACTGGTCTAGCAGACCTGATGCCAGGTAAGAGTCTAATTTCTTTTTCACAGAACTGTTCCAGTGATTCTTTATTGCATTGTCTGTCCTGTCAAAATGAAAGGATGAAAAAATACAAGCACCCGGTCAGCACTACTTTAGACACACAGTTTTCACGTTCTAGCCAACAACACATCAGATAGATGCCCCAACCAGCCGAGCAAGCAAATAAATTGAACCACAGATCATAGAAAACCTTTAGATCAAGACTAAACGATGGAGAGCTACCGCATCTCAAATATTAAATGAACTTACCTTCCAGGCAAGAACTTCGACAGCTCTGCCCATCTGTTCCCATAAACCTGATGTGCACGAATCAGAGCCACCTCCTCTTCTTGAGTCCATGCCTCTTTGTTTATGGCAGGATTAAGATGATTATGCCACCTGGTTTCAATAACTTGTTTGAGAAATAAAAATTCAACAAAATACATTACCAAGAACAAAGATCCTGACAAACCTTTTTGGGTTGACATTTGTAGCTCAGGGCAAAAAAATGGGAGAAGTCGGAAAATAGTTAAAGTTTTCA